TGTGGTGAACAACGGAGTCGCAGTGCTCAGCGCCGTCACTGCCTGCGCCGAGGAGCTGGCACCCTGACCGGAGAGCCAGGAGCTGGGATGATGGTGGTGGTGGTGGTGGTGGTTTAGGTTGCAGCTGTTTGTTTTGGCACCGACTGCAACATGTGTGAGTCACATAAATGGCTAAATAGGTCGAAATCCATGCAAAGATCAAAATATTAAAAGGGGTCTGATGAAAAGCCTTCATGTGTTGAGGATAATGGTAAATAACTGGAACAAAAACCTGATTAATCTCTTAAAATGGATTTACTGAACGTTTGCTCTTAATGTGCTGCAGCAAGTTATGACAAACACCCCTAGTTTAAGTCCCTTTAGCCTTTTATCCACTAGAGGGCAGCAGAGTGACCTGATCTGACAGTGAGTCATCAAGTAAAATGATTCAGTTTGTTTAAACGTAGAATTAAAAGCTAATAAATTATACCATAGATTGTATTTTCAGCTAATGTATAAATTTAAGAGCATTTATTGCTTAGCTATCATAATAATCATTTACGTACAATCAAAAATGTAACCTTTGTTTTCTAAGCCCCTCCCCCAAACACAAACTGTCCAATCATAGCTTTGCAAAGGTAGCAACACAAGATTTACTGTCAACTTTCAAATGATGAGTTCGAGCTTGTTGTGCTTCCCAAACCAAAAAACACAACAGCAAAAATATGAGAATCAAATTTCTTCTTCAAAGTTATTCTTATTGAATTTTGGATAATTACAGACATTAACACAAACAGATCCCACCCGAGAATCAAATTTCATGTGTTTGTCTGCTTCAAAATGAGCTACACATGTTAGCATGCCATAGCTAACTTGCTTCCTATTAACAGCAGCAACTGTGCATTAAATTTTCTAAGGAATATTTCATACAATCTTATTTTTGGTGTTGAAGGTAATATATAAGGATTTAAAGATTACACTCAACCCATGATACGATACAGTATGTATAACAATACTGTATAACGCCCAATCATAAAAAAGGACTGTTTCACTGTAGCCAATCATATTCAGTCATATGTGGCACGTGACTGTGCCTGCCCAGTGACTGCCAAAATAAGTTTCTGTTGCAGCAAATTTGTATTTAGGATAGAGCTTTTAACTTTAATGTAGGAATGGTTCTATGTGGAAACTACTGTATAATACACTGCTCTTTAATCCCCTGGCATCTCTGCGTATGAGTCAGTGTTTCCTAGAGACACTCCAGCAAACACATAGGACTTTGTTAATCCTGCAGCCATATATACTGTGGGATTATAATCAGCTGCTGTGAGCCAACAGTCTGAATCCCTGGGTCCTAAATCAAATCAGCATCAGAGACTTTAAAGTCCTGAATCAGCGGAAGCGAAAGAACAGTCCAAGTGGAAATTTCAACTGTCATACCATGCAGATGAAGTTATTTTATACATGACTCATGCAGTGGTGACAGGGAATAAGAACAGGCAGTAGTTTCCGATCCTTTATGTGCTGACTATAAGTTTGTAATAAACAGCGGAGTTGGTGGGCCAGCAGGTCAAAGACACTGTGGTGTCAGGATGTCTGCAGCTCAGCAGTTCTCCCACTGAGCGGCATGTTGCTCTATTCCGACTGCTGCTCAAGGTGCCATATTTACATCCCAAGGGATCGACGGAACCAGCGGGGAGCGCAGCGCAGGGCTGTGTGTGGAGCTCCTGCTGTGCTTCCTAGCACAACTATTAAGAGGTTAGAAGCCTTCTGAAGCAGACATATCGGCCTGTATGAGCATATCAAGTGACTATCCGTATCGGCTACTTTGGTGCATACATCAAGTAATATCTGTTCAGTCAAAAAACAGTTCATTTTATTACAAAAGCTTTTTCTCTTTCACCAGAAGTGTGCTATAAAGATAACAACTATCGCTCTCCAGAGTGTCCAGCAGTGATGCACATACATGCGCAGTTACTTTCCAATTGAGTGACCAGAAATCACGCAATAAATATGGGACAAATCAAATATCTAATAAAGATATCGGCCAATAATCGGTATCAGATTTTCTCTCTCCCTAATAAAAAAAATCTCATATCAGTCGGGTCCTGTAGCGACCTCTACGGATAGCCTTCCCTCTATAGGCTATGCCCCATCTCCCTTTGTCTACCTTGTGATCAAAGATGCTGTGTCATTAACAAGTGTTACTATGAGACCGACTCTCAGTCTGAACTTCTAACTTTGTGCCTCTGCTGCACAAGCTGAACACAATTCCACCCGTAACACAAACCCTAACCTCCTAACCCTAACACAAACCACCAGACACAGGAGGATTCATTGAAAGACTGATTGTCCTTGCATGAGTGAAATTGACTTGAGTTTGCACGTGCAGACACTTTCATCTGTGTTTATAATTCTGCACAAACGCACACAAGGGCACACAAACACTAATTTGCTCAGTGCAAGAATCAAAGAGTGGCAGCATCACACGGAGCAGCAATTTGTCTATGTTTAGGCTTTAGCTAAATGTACAGTGGAAACAGAATTCCTAAGCTTAAACCGCGGCTTAGCTTCGTCTGCAGCTATTATCCTAATTAGACCGAGGGGGCCCTGCAGTCTCAGGGGGGACGGCGTACATTTCCTACTCCCTGTTGGTAGGCAAATCACCTCAAGAAGACACCTGTAACTATAAAAAGAGTTTGGATTCCGCTGCTTGAGTTTACTACAAGACGAAAAGATAACAAGATACTTCAGCTTTCAGTAAGACTTGTGCTGTGTGTAGGGCTGAACAACACTGGTGAGTTAAATTAGAGATCTCACTACAAGGTTTATATAGTACAGGCATGTAAAAAAACAGAAATAAAAGATTAACAACTACATGGAAACTCCCAAAGTGAAAGTTGAAAGTCTTGGCACACTGAAAGGTTCACACACATTATAACAAAGTAGCAGAAAGCCGCAATCTGTCAACACAACATGACAATCACAATCACTATTATCCAGAGACCTCCCCCTCTCATAGTGTGTGTGTGTATGTTTGTACTGTGTGTGTGTTTCTATTTAAATCTCCCTGTGATAGAGGAGGGACAAAGGGGAGCAGGAGATATCACTGTGTAGTGTTCTTCTCTCCATCACTTTGCATCCACAGCATCAAGACACAGAGGTAAGGCCTGCAATCTCTGATACACTACATTCATTTAACTACTGGGTAAATTACTTCAATAAAAAGATAATGCTCTCCTTAAGTCGGGTGGTGTTGTATTGGTTTGATCTAAACTGAATTTTTACTTTGGATTGGATCAGTTTGACGAGAAATATTTTTTAGTTTTTTTTTAATGAAGTAGACAAATAATGTGAAAATTTAAGACACAAATTGAGGTTATTTTTTATCATGGAAAAATGTACCTGTTGTTGTCTTGACTTATCAATTAATAATACATTTTTAAAAAGTTGCATGAGCCTGGCAGGACCTCTTAAAAAGGCATCTTATTCAGTTAGACCATTACTCTAAAACCTTTTAATATCACAGACAATGAAGCAAACACTTAATATGACTCAAATATCAACCACATTAAGATTATTGGCTAGTTGGTCTGCTGTTAGCTGATTGAGTGACTAAACATAGTTTAAAACACTACAAGGTTTAGATGAAAACATAATTTTTGCTCGAACTGCATAACAAATCTGCTATCAATGCAGTATCAATAAAACTGTTGTATTTTGCAATATAGATGTATATTATGACTAAAGTGAAAATGACGGTTCAGTGGTATCATGACCAAACAGAACGACAATTTCTGGGGATATATAGTAACTGATTTGAAGGTCTAATACACCCAGAGATAGTGTAATGAGAGATACCACAATATATAACAAGGATATTCAAGTGTAGAGTTATTAATCGATTAGTTCTTTGACGGAAAAAATTATAGGATATAGACATAGACAATAGAAGGTTTGTTAAAGGAAGAATGCCAGACATGTCCTAATTACAAGGTTAAAAAGCTGCTTTTGAATGTTTTTTTACATTTTATTTTGGACTTTTGTGCCTTTATTTTGGGATACGACAGTCGATAGAGTTAGAAATCGGGAAAGAGAGAGAGTGGGGAATGACATGTGGGAAAAGAGCCACAGGTCAGATCTGATCCCGGGCTGTCTGCTTGGAGGACTATAGCCTCCATACATGGGGCGCATGCACTGACCACTAGACCACCTGCGCCCCCCAAATGTTTTTCTTATGTGATGGTAAACTGACTCTCTAATGTCCGTCAGACAAAGCAAACCCTAACCCTATGAATGAAGAAAATAATCAAAAGGGAAATAAGTTGGTTGAAACCTTAAAGAAATTGATGACAAAATTACACAACCCCAAAAAGTATTAAATCAACCAAACTATGTACAATAAGCACATGATTTCATATTTTTCAATGTGATGTAACTTTAACTTAACCGGCCAATTGCTGTGTAAAGTTAGCCCTGCATCACTCAAGGCTTCGGTCTTCTGGGAATTAAGGAGCCAGTCTATATTTGTGTCTTTTATCCAGAGGAAAAGTGAGGGTGCAGGCAGGAAATGTTATCTGTTGGGGCCTTGCATGCTTCACTTTGCTCCCTGGCAGATAGGTGTGTTATCAGCACTGAGAGGTGACTGTATGAGACTGTCCATCAGGCTAAGACATGACAATGCATGATCAAGTAAACAAGAAAACAAAGAGAGGGAGGGTGGCTACGTGAAAAGCTCCATCATCGAGTAATGTCTTACATATACTTGACATTTGACTGCAAAAGTGCAATAAACTGATTAAAGTCAACACTTTTAGACAGTCAAAAAAGATCACTGGATGTCTATAAATACTGTATATTTCCGTTGTTGTAACACTAGACAGTCGACTCGTGGTGGAATGTCTCCATAGTGGATCTAAAAGGAAAGCTAAAGTTAAGACCCTTTGGGGCACTGGGCACAAGTGGTCCCCTCGGCTGAGCACTTCAGAGGCAAAAAGGTTTTATTTCTGTCTTCCAGGGGGAATCCAAATAGCCAAGATGCCTGAGAAAGCGTAAGTGTCATTGTGTTTTTTGTCATTGTTTCCATTTCCAAAATCAGTGTTGGATTCTTACAGCATATGGAAATTAAGTATAATATGGAAAATGTCGAATTACAGTTCATTACAATTGTTGTAACTGAATGCTAACACTTCCTTTTCTGTGTCTGCTGTGTCCTCTTTTTCAATTTCTACCGACAGGCCGGAGGTAAGATTTCAAAAGAGAGAACTTAATTTAACCCCCAAGTAGATTGGTTGCTATAAATTGTCACACTGAATATCTATAAACGTGTTCTTCTTTTGTAGAATAAATCTAAAATCTCGGCCTCTCGCAAGCTCATGCTGAAGGTGAGTCCAGCTTGCACAGACTGCATCTTCAATGAGTGAATCGAGCCGTTAGATGTCCTCTGTGTTTGGTATTTCAGAGCTTGATGGTCGCCAAAGCCAAAGAGGAGCTGGAGCAGGAGATGGAAGAAAAAGAGGAGCAGAAGGCCAAGTACCTGGAAGAAAAATCTCCTCCTTTACAGGCCAGCAGCATGTCCTTAGCTGAGCTACAGGTATGATTTACATTCATTACAGAGTTGTTCATTATGCAAACTAAAAATGTGAAAATGATCTAAGTTACTGAAACCGTGCATCTAAGGATCAATTTTTTTTTACTCAGAATGAGAGAAACTGAACTTCCACTGCTCTCTTTTTTTCTCTATAGACGTTATGTGAAGAGCTGCACACTAAAATCGACACGGTGGACGAGGAGCGGTATGATATTGAAGCCAAAGTCATGCACAATAACAGAGAGGTAAACGGAACACTTGATAGGAAAGATAACAATGTAAAGCTGTGTTAATTGTTATTACATCAGCCAAAGCAAAATAATATTTAAATATCAAACTTGCACCAATTTAACCCATTGATTGACCAATAGACACTCTGATAACATTTTCCTGTGCCTATAGCGCCTTTGATACCGAGACTTGATATGGCGATTACTCTAATACCAGTGGGATAAATACACTGACACAGACCTTTTTGTAACAGCTACTTCTAACATATGTCATGTGGTTACTATCATTACCAGCCTGGATAAACACAATGAAGAAATCAGTAATACAGTCCGTTGTGTCTCAGGGATTTATCCATTCTATGTGTACTTTCTCATCATTCTGGACGCTTTGTAATGAAAACCGTTTCTCAGATCTACGACGTTAACATGGCTTAAACCTGGAGCATAACAGAAAGACACCACAACAACATTATGGGCTTCCCATCCTGAGCGTGAGGTCATGGCAACATGGCCGGCCGCCATGGGAATATTGTCCATTTTAGTTTATAAAAAAAGGTATAAAACGGGCATGCAAATCACTCGTTGGGGCGGGCCGCCCCCTTAATATAATGGTAGGGGAAACACTGTATTGGATCTGTGTAATTGCAGATACTTGATACCATTTCAGGCCGTATCAGAGGCTTTTTCCACAAGTAGCTGCATGAGGACAAATCAAGTCAAAACACCTCAAATATTTACCTTCATATGAGCTCACACAACAATGGGACACCTTTGTTAACTTCCTCTCTACTGTCCAATCAGATCAAAGACCTAAACATTAAGGTGCTGGACCTGAGAGGGAAGTTTAAGAGACCCAGCCTGAGGAGGGTGAGGGTCTCTGCTGATGCCATCCTGCGCTCCCTGCTAGGCTCCAAACACAAAGTCTCTCTGGATCTGAGAGCTAATCTCAAATCAGTCAAGAAGGAGGACACGGAGAAGGTGGGTTTGGGAATAATGTGACTAAATACAGAGCGAGCCGAAGGGATGCTTTTGGCAAAGGAACCACACAGCATGCAGCTGCGGCAGAGATGTTTCAATGCCATCATTTATGTTTGCACCTCAAACCTTTGGCCGTCATCCAGAATTAGAGCGACTGACAAAGAATAAACCAACTGAATCAGCTTTCTTAGTTTGCCAAAAGACAAATATGCCACTGACACAAGGTGACATTACATCTCTGTTTAAGATATTCCCAAAGGGCTTATATGGCTCCAGTTAAAGAGATTAACTCTTTTTTTTTTTTTTAAATCTATTTGAATAATTTTAGACTTTTGGATGTAAGTTGCATTGGTCTAAATTTGCAGAACATTTTTAGATTACCACCTAACTGGTGATGATTTGAATGATTTTCTTCCTCTGCGCAGGAGAAGACGGTGGAGGTGAGTGACTGGAGGAAGAACGTGGAGGCCATGTCGGGGATGGAGGGCCGCAAGAAAATGTTTGATGCAGCGAAGGGACAAAACCAGTGAACAGGTGTTACTAGAGAAACAGCTGGCTTACTGTATATATTACATCAGATGTCATCACTTGTAAACCAAAGAGCGCAGAGTGCAGCACAAAACATTAACACACAAACCCTCCAGTACTTTACGACATCACAAAGTACATGTCTTCATATGTTCTGTTTGTTTTGTTTCATTATCACTGAAATAAAAGCTCCAGATGTGGCATCTCTTGTCTCTTTGGTCGTTTAGGGCATTTTTTAAACAGTAATATGATAAGCTTTCACATCAACCAGGTCTATTGTTTATTGTCATTTAGATTTGTGGATATATTTTTCTGTATTGACATTTGGTGTAGGCCTAGGGTCGTGGTTGTTGAAGTGTAAACTTTATTCCTTCCTCTTTTCGACATCATGTCACACGATTGTTTGCTTTGTCTTCAATGATATTGTCCTATATGTTTACTTTTCATCTTAACTACTGCGTTTCTTATTAAGTTATCTACTTGTAGTCTATTTATCAACTTGCCTGAAGTTTAGATATTAATCAATCAATCAAATGTAATCCAGGTCAAATAAACACTACAGTTGTTAAATCAATCGGTTGAGTAACATTTAGTGAAGACCCACAACAACTGAGGCTACAAGTAAATATAGACCTTGTTGAAAATATTATTTGCACTTAGTCACAATGGATGATTATTTCCAATAAATGTAATATACTAAAACATCATCACGTGCAGCAGGAGCAGACGAAAGGTGTCGTAAGCAGCAGATGGCCTACCTGTCGTAGCCCGGTAAGGTGAAGCAGTGATAGGCCTACGTGACGTCTCGGTGAGGATTAATCCTCTCGGGAAAGTTTGTCTGCCCGTGACAGCACGACAACAGTTAAATAGCCCGCTCACCTGTGAAGGATGACGTCACGCGTCATTCAAACTTCTAATAATTTTTTTATACCTCAGTTTTAGTGACTTGACTTCTTCTGCATTTGGATTAATCATAGTAGGCTACAAGCAAATAAACTCTCAAGTCACAAAATTATAAATACAAACATGGAAGAGTCGGTTTTTATTATTTGAAAGTTATTTTTTACGTCATGAGTCATAGGGTTTTTTGTACATTTTTGGCTACAACCTTATAGGCTGTTACATTACTGTTTATGGTGATGATTATCGCTCCCATAAGAACACAAGCTTTTAAAGTTGCATTCATAACTTCTGTTTAGCCTCTGATCTTCATGCCCAAACTTGTTTTGATTGTTTAATCTGATTTTTTAATGGCCCCAAAAACTACAGCTGAATCGTGAAATCCTTAAAGTGCATGTTTGACCTTCTTATTGGACAATATCAAGTATTTAAAATAGGCCTACAATATGCCAATTTAATCAGTTATTATTGTTGTTATAATTTTCTTCGAAATGACTAAATACAAAGATCTAATATACTTTGCCTGTAACGTTTTGGCTAAGTTTTGCTACAACATTAAAAATAACTTTCATTCTTTTTTGTCACTTACCAATCTCTTACTCTCTGAAGGCAAAGATCCCAAAAGAAAACTTTAAAAAAGAAAACAGTAGCTTTGGATTGCAGTTTCTATTTCTGCCACAAGATGGCAGTAAACGCTCACATCCAGTCCACTGAGAAGTCATGATCAAGGTTATGCTTTATGAACAAGTTCAACAAACTAAAGATGTTATCAATCATGGGTGATCGAGACTTATTTGAGCTGAACATCTCTGTCTGGACACGTATTGTTTCATGCTTTTAAAGACTACACAAAGAAAATGCTTTGTGTTGTTTGTTTTAGTTGAGTCAGCTGCCAGACGGGCGGAGTTTACAGCAACACAAAGAGGAGGAGAAAGTTTATTCAGTACTGTGATTGTATGATTTCAAATGTCGCCCTGGCAGATTTTACTGAATCTTTTGATGGTTACGAGTAGCGTAACACTTTCTAAACATTTAACCATAACACGTATTTATTGAGATGTTTATTTAGGATATTTAATTATCTACATGCCATGTGTGTCCTTGTCTATTACAAAAGTCTCTTTTAAGGTCATGTTTTTAATTTGAATCATCTCTTCTGTATACTATGAATTTATGTAAGCATGATGTTGATATTTATTTCATCATGTGGACACCAGCCGTTTTTTCTCAATTCAGTTTATTTAGGAAGGGGACAGTGCAAATTAATAAAACACATGATCATACATGGGTAGAAATGTCAGAATTAGCCAAAACGCTACTTGTCATCTGTAGTCCCCTGGCCTCGATGTTAAAGAGGCTTTTTAAAATACAAATAAACAAGGAGATAAAGGAAAAAGAACATATCTTCTTGAACATAATAAACAAGAGGGAGTATTTATGGATAAATCGTAATGCATGTATAAATAAAATAATAACAGTAAATTGAAACAAATATACAATATTAATCTACATAACAAAACAGCCTAGATTATTTAGACAATAATAAACCATCCTGCTAAATGATAAAAGAATGAAAAGTAAATGTATACAAACCTAAAATATGATTTTTTTTTTGTTGAACAGAAAATGCTTTTATTAAAACATGACCAACAAGTGTTTTTTATCACCCAGCCTGGTTGTTTAATAATCTGTCTGCTTTACATTGGTATCTCCTTCTATTCTATATTTTGAGCTCTTTTGTATAACTTGTCTCTACGTCTCTGCGTCTTTATTTATGTCTTTCAAACCAATCGCCCCAAGAAGGATTAATAAAGTTGTTTGAATCTAATTTAATTGTCAGCCTTCAGAAATCTGATATTGACATTTCTCTTTTCCACATTTGTGAATTGACTTTCATAAACGCCCAAAGACTCAAGAGTGCAACTAGCCTCAACAAGATTTAAGACATGAGTCCAACTTGTCTCCACTGACTAGAGACTTGAACTCACTCCTGAAGGCTTTAAGAGAGCCGCAAACAATTTGTAAACAAAGCCAGGAATGAGGTCGGAGGGGGAACATCATTCAAGTAAACAGACTTAACATTTTGGCGTTGACTCAGGAAAGACAATCTGTGATGTTATGATCCAAACTGTGAGGTCAGGTTCAATATTAACAGCAAACAGAGGGAGTATCAAAAGACTTGGCATGATCATAAGGGAGTTGTTGATAACATGCTGTTGCATGCAGGACTGAGGGCAAATACTAAAAATTAAAGGTGAGGTGCAGGAGATGGAGTCACTTTTATTTTTCTCATTCCACTGGTAACCTGCTGTGGGAACAATGCACAAACATTTGACAGCTAACATCTCCAGCCTGTGGAATGAATGTTCCCTGTCACTGTAAAGTCAATATTTAAAGAGCTATCAATTGATAGTAATACAAGGTTAATAGTCTGTATATGCTTGTAAATCAGAGGAGCTTCAGCCGTCCTTTTGTGTATTTCTGTGCACACAGGAGCACAGGATCACATCCAGCCTTCCTCATGCCACAGCTGAAATATTGTACAGTAATCCCGTGCTGTTATGGCTCCGTTTTTGCCGTGTAAAAATAGACAATGCAAGTCCATGGAGAATGCATGTTTTCCCAATACGAGTTAATGCCATCTGCCATCTGTTTGCAGGTATGTGCACACCCATTGTAGACACGGGCATGGTGCCGCCATGTGATCCGCTCCTGGGTTTAAAAGCTTAAGGCCCACAGAGAGGAGCACAGGATACAAGTTCCCCATTGAACATCCTCTGAAGAGCACATCACACTCACTTGGTAGGTCTGCCTGCTCTTCTTATATGTTTTTTTTTAATCAGTTATCAGATTCTTTCAACACAAATATTCAAATTGGGCTGTTTTTAAAACTTTATCAGTCATTATGCTTCTTTGAATTTGATTTTCTTGTGCAGGCGCTTCATCATGTCAGACACAGAAGAAGCAACACATGAGTGAGTAAATCTTCAGTCTGCACAGATTTTGGGGCGATAATAATAAATGTATGCAATGCACAGATGGAATCAATTCTCACAAAAAAAATGATGTGTTGTGTTTTTCTTTTCTTTCAGGGAACAGCGTAAGTCATTTTGTCAGGTCACAGATGTGAAAGAGATGAGTTGTCACAGTTTGTAAATGTAGTGTAGCTAAGGGGCTGCAGATTCACACATCTGGATGCAGACAATTGCTTCAAATTCGCATGACTTTTGTGAATATGCTGAATGTGTACAATCCATAAATGCATTGATGTGTAGACTGATGCTTGATATTCTTGTTGCATACATTGACCTCTTCTCTTTGCCTCTCGTTCGCTGTGAAGAAGAGGAGGATATTGTTGGTATGTACTGTAATACAAACAATATCTATTTGAACAACGTTGCTTTTAAATGCCAAAAAACTAAATTGCTGCTTGTAATTTTTTTTGCCACTTTGTAACTGCTTTACACACTTAAGCCATGCATCTCTTAGTTACTTAACACACTGCATCTGCTAAGCTGCTGGCTTCACCACAGCTTACTGTATTTTTGGCGTGCTGGTGCCACCGTATAGAGGCAGCTGCTGGCTTTGAAGCTTTTGTGCAGGATCGACCTTTGACCCTCAGTCAGTCCTGTTTGTCTGCGGCTGGAGATAGTTCAGCTTCTCTGAACATCCCAGCAGATATGTTCTTTCAATTCAAATAGCACGGTGGGTCACCATCGGAGAGATAAAAAGGTCATATATCTTTATTTCTGTCTCCACTGTGAGGTGGTCCAAGTGGGCCACCGTACAGCCCCTCTGTCCCTGACACTAAGCAGCACCTGTCTTCATCTGCGTCGCTGTTGGAGAGCAATGTAGGTCAGCTTACGTTCTCAATAGAGGACCTTGGGGAGAAAAGCGCCCCAAGCACAATGCTCACTTTCATTTTAAGGCCTGTTAGAGGTCCGCTAAAAGCAGCTTGGCTTACCTTTGCTGCAGCAGAGAGAGGTTAAGTTTCCCTCTGTGGCTAAAAGGACTCTGACAAAAGGGTCAGTATGACCTTTTGTCCAAAAAGGTCAATGAGGAGGACGGCACTTTTTGGGACAAACACACACATTTTAGCTGCAAATACATCTTACGCTTAATGCTGCTATTGGAATCTGGTGGCAAAAAGTAATGTCTCTCCTTCAGTGATGATAAGATGTATCCAATTTAATGTATATAAATGATGAACCTTGTGAGTGCACTTTAATTTAAACATAAACATTTTAAAGGTTTTTATTTGCACAGCTTAATTAAAAAAATTATAATTAAATGCTTCCGATTTCATAAAATCCAGATATCGCTAATCTCCAATACCTGTATATTTAGAGACCCATTGTACAAATCACTGTTCGATTAAAAGTCCAAATTAAAATGTCAGGTTGTAGAATGTAACACGAAATCCCACAGTTCAAGCAGGAATCTAAGAAAAATACGCATAGATCGTAGAAATACATTTTGATCTAAATGCTTTTGAGATTATTATTTTGTTTGCTCTCTAACTCTTCATGCTTGCTTTGCACAGAGAATGAGGAGGAGGAGGAAGTGGAAGAAATAGAGGAGGAGGAGGAGATGGAGGAGGAGGTGGAAGAGGTAGAGGAGGAGGAGGAGGAGGTAGAAGGTAGTACAGCTTATGCTAATATGTTTTTGCATGCCTGCAGTAGATAGAAGTGACTGTAATCTTAATACATTGTTGTAAACCATGACGTGTTATTATCAGGTGTTAAAATGTAAAGAATGATCGTCACTGTAAAAGGAAAACCATGTTGGTGCATTTTCAGATTGGTCTTAATAATTATTAGAATAATCATATCTTGATTTTTTTTTAGCATCTTTGAAAAAAAATGTTTACAAAGTGCGTCGACATAAAATGTGCAAACTGGATGCTCAGAGGGCAACGCAAAAGTTGAAATGATTAACGTTGTAGCTTAATACTCACAAAATGCCAAAATGACCAGGAGTTACATGATTTGTCTTCAACAGTGATGACTTCTAAACAGTGGGATACTAAACGTGCAGCTACCGTTTCTCTTCCATTTGAAGTTAGTCATTATGGTTCAGATTCCAATATTTAACACTTTAATATAAACCTTATATTATGAAAATATGTGTATATGTTTTTGAGATATTAACATGTTTCTTGTATTTTCTCATCTCAATCAAAGGAAATCCATTTTAGAAATAAGAAATGCATTTCTGTGTCACAAAGCAACATTGATTTATTTTCTGTTTCCTGTGTAATTTCTTACATTGAAGTCTTTGTTCTTTGTTCTCTGTCGTTTTGTTGCTAAGCCCTGCCTCAGGTTGAGACACACACAAGTTATCACTGCAGGTCATCTAAAGCTCGCTTTTTTAAAACTGTCAGAGAGAGAAAAAAAACACGCCTGCATCTTTTACCAGCTCTGTTCATCAGCACTGACAGCAGATGTTGTCTGTCTGACTCTGTCACCTGCAATATGTCAGAGGTCATGCCAGCTCCATTATGATTGACAAGTCAATCAATACTGACACCCAGTTTATTAAGATAACGTCATGACAAACCAGAAAATACGGAAGCCCTAAGAGGGAGGTTGGACAAAAAATGTAGGTGGTTCAGAAATCATACATCTTTTATTTTATTTGTTTTAATCAGGCATCTTTTAACAACAACAAAAAATAAGTTAGATACATACTGCCACATGTTTTAACCAAGTCGAGTTGTTAATTGTTCTCATATACCTGTAAATAGTTTTATACATATATTTTGAAATCTATAAAATCAATTCAAATTTATTTTTAACAACTTAGAAAATAAATCCTTTCAAAATAAAATTTCACTTGGAAATACTTAACTCATAACTGCTCAAAGATAAAAACACCAATCAAGGAATTCTAAAAGAGTGACCTGGTAAAACCTTTATAAACCCAACAGTTCTTTAGTGAGAAACACAAAAGAAACAAAAACTTATTAGGTTCAGATTTAGAAATGAATCACAAGATTTGTTTTTATAACTTGCCTCTAACTTGCCATATAAAAAAATAATTTAGTACCCTGGTGAAATAATGTGTAAGGGCTTTATTCATATTTATTTTATCAAAGCACAGTAAGTTTTTTAAAGTAAAAAAATATATATTTTACTCCCACATACATGCAATGATAGAGATAAACTGGTACAATTACTTTAACAAAAAAATCCAGATGTCAACATCAAGATTGAAACCAAATAACTACCTCCAACTAAACACATTTCTACAGCCGCATATTCAATTTAAAGACTTCATAACACTTTGAATCCACTGTGATCTTGTTCATGTGGGTCATCGTTCTTCACATTTCACCTCTCACTCAACGTCGACTTTTTACTGACCTTGTTATCTCTCTGCAGACGGGGCAGAGGAAAATGGAGGTATGTATGACAATTTGAGGAAGATCAGAGGAAGGTGTTGAGTGAAGAACATGTTTGCTATATTACTTTTAATTTATGTTTTTTTTAAACTTATAACTATATACTTTGTTTTATTTTCATAGAAGATTCAAAGCCCAAGACAAAGTAAGATCAGAGTTGAAACATCCTTATACCTCATATAAAAACACAATTCTTCATGATAGTCACACAAATATTTTCTGATTTCTATCCTTAGGACTGGTTTTGTTCCTGGCCTGGCACCTCCTAAAATCCCAGAGGGGGAAAAAGTTGACTTTGATGTGAGTTCATCTAATGATTGCTCTAAAGTTACTCCTGCAAGCTGTCTGTGGAGTTGATTTCTTGATTATATTTCAGCTCACACTTTGACCTCTTCTTACGATTTCAAGGACATTCACAGAAAACGAATGGAAAAAGACCTGAATGAGCTCGGCACGCTGATTGAAGCTCACTTTGAGAAGCGAAAGAAGGAAGAAGAGGAGCTTCTGAGCCTCACTGATCGCATTGTCTGTTCATATCTTTGTCATTCAATGTGTTAAATGACACTTTTAGAATTCCAATATCACTCATATTTTTGTCATTACTGTCGTATTTCAAGTCCTATTCTGATTTTACAGGAACTGTTTTTGACTGTAACTTTTACACCTTTTCCTCATTAGGAGAAACGCCGATCAGATCGAGCAGAGCAGATGAAGATCAGGGCAGAGAGAGAAAAAGAACGACAGAACAAAGTTAATGTACGTATTGAGGAAAAATACTTTGTTTTAGATCATAACTGTGGAACAGATGAGCTCCCTTAACCCTGTAAGATGTCTAGGAAGCCCAAAAAAGAGAAACTGACATTTCAGAGTCTGACCTCAGGCCAATCCCAACTATGAATAATGCTTAAACTTCATTAAGCAAAGTACAAAGAATGAAATTAATCAAAATATGTTGATAATGGTTGGAGGCACATTTTTGTCCCCCAGGAAGAAAAAGCGAGAAAAGAAGATGAAGAGGCAAAGAAGAAAGCGGACGATGACGCCAGGAAGAAAATGATTCTTTCCAACCTGAGTTTCACTGGATACAAGGTGATCGATTCCTGACCCTTTTAAAATACCCACACACAATGAACTGTACATTGTAGCTAACCACCACATGTGTCCTTCCCCTGACCAGCAGACACAGACTGGGCCAAAGAGACAAACAGAAAGAGAAAAGAAGAAGAAGATTTTAAATGAGCGACGGAAAGAACTGACTATTGATCACATGAGAGAGGATGCCCTTAAGTAAAATAAAAACAAAAACATTTCCTGTTCCTCCTTTCAAGCCAAAGACATTAATGATCAATATGAGATACAAAACTTCCATACTTCATCCTGTGAGCACTGCTTTACCTTTTTTGTCCATGCAGGGAAAAAGCAAAGGAGCTGTGGGAAAGGGTGCACCAGCTGGAGGCAGAGAAGTTTGAACTTCAGTATCAGGCCACAAAGCAGAAGTATGAGGTAACATATCACAAGGAAATGCATCACACATAAAAAATGTCTTCATTCTCATGTGTACATCACAAACATTGATGAACACACAGACTCTGGGAAGCAGGCCAAAACAAAACAGGCCATGACAGAAAGACTTATGAGATACTTACATAGGACAACAGATAATATCTGGCAACAGATTTCACAGCTCCCATAAGTGGACCTCAGCCAATGATAACTTGTGCATTGACAGTGATGAAGGAGAAAAAGTCTTAGCTGCACGCATGTTTATTACCCTGCTAATTAGCTTAGGTTTTAGCTCCTCTTCCAAGTTATCATACATAGACAACACAAGGCTTAAAAAGAAGTGTGTAAATCCAAGCTGAACTAATAAACGAGTACTTTTCATCAATTTTAAAACACATCTAATTAGGTTAACTAAATGAAGGACAACAACTTCAAGTGGCAGGAATTTCAATTAAGTCAGAAGTTGAAGCTACAAATGAGCTACTCTGCTAGCTTGTTCCGATTTAGCACGACTAGCTAGTTCAGAAAGTGTTAGCCTAGTGTACTTTTACATTGTTCCCTCCATAACAGAAGGTTTGGTCATTTCTTTTAATGAAAAAAAAATCTGTTAATAAGCCACATATGAAATATCTGAAACAAGTAGGCCAAGTAGGTTTATTTTGGTAAAGCAAAGGCTAGTTAGCTATCTCACAACCAAGCTTAATTTTCAGAACAAGCCTCACTATAATAAACAATTTCCACATTTTTCCTTCAGATTTTTTTTGAAGCAGTACACTGCAGCAGGTTTTTAATAAACATCCAAACACATCTTTTTCTTTGCAGGTCACTGTGCTGAGAAACCGGGTCAGTGACCATCAGAAAATGTAAGTCAATTTTGCTATGGGAACAGTGGTATGTGTTTTTTTTTTTTTAAAGGTATCATACTATCCTCCTTTTTAAACAAGTCCCAGAGCTCCCTGAAACATGTCTGTGAAGTTTCTTGACAAAAATCCACTCTGATCCTGTATTTGATCATGTCTATAAGCCCCTCTATTTCAGCCCTGCTCTGAACAGGATGTTTCTGTGTCTGTAGCTTTAAATGCAAGTGAGCTATGTCTGACCACGCCCCTCTCTAGAAGGGATATGGCTTGGGCTTTCTTGGACCGTGCCCAATTGTTTACGGTGAGAAGGCAGACTCAGAGGGCAGAAAAAACTAGCTGTGGGAGTGACACCCACCTGGGGGAGGGGTTACTGCCCTTTGTGATGTCACAAAGGGAGAATCTCCAAAACAGACTGTTTGAGCACTCATTTTCTGAAAAATGGAGCAGGCAAAAGACGGAGAGGATGATCTTCTCATATTTTGGGGACTAGGTACGCATATTTGTGTTTGAAAAACATGGTAAAGTGTATTTTGCATAGTATGTAACCTCATTCGGCATGTAAGCTAAATATTGAGAAACAGCAAGAATAACATATGTTCAAAGAGAGACATAAAAGGCTATTTCTGTGCAGGCCTGTATCACCACTTTTAATAATTAGGCTACTTAACAAACAAAGTGAACCTTCTATAAAGATTGTATAAACTCCGAGCAAAGTAGAGTCCAGTAGCTTTGAAAGTAAAATTAGATTAAGTATTGTTCAGTTATTCCTGCACTCCACTCTGCTTTGATAGAATAAGTCCTTAAGTGACCTCCTTTATTTTCCCCCTCCTCTTCCTGGTTTGGCCTCCCTTCAGCTCCTCTCACATCACTGATCTCCGTTCGTTTGAAGCGGCTTCAGTAACAGCTGTTTGTGCCAGCTCAGTACTTCCAGTCAAACAGGACTGGGAAAACAAAAACGCTCAAGCACATGAGAGGTGTTTTTATAAAGGGCAGGCCAGGGCATCTAAACAAAATATGTGAAATTGCAACAGAGCTACAACAGCTGATAGATCTTGTAACTGCTATATGATATCATCTGGGTTCATGTAGCGCACAATAAAACAATGACTGACCCCTGCTGCCATCCAAATCATGTCAACCCTTCCTCCTGATCACTCAAGGATCTAAAGAAAACTTTAACAAGCTGATCATGTTCTTATTTCAGCAGAAGATGGAGACTGGCTTTGCAAGCATTTCGATTATGTTGCTGATATTATTCAACTGTTATTTATAACCATAAATTGTAAAAGCTCAGAGTGTGTCGCAGAATAATAATAAAATGTAAGTTGCAGGAGTCTTGTAGATGGGGTAGCAACAGAAGATAAAGATAGCAGGAAACTATTTGGTCCCAAATCCCCCTCCAAAAACAGACTGCTGCAAAGCTTTCAGTAGCTACAGTATCTGAGGCCAGCAGCTGCTTTCTGCAGAGCAGTGGTTCCCAATCTGTGGGTCAGGACCGATAGAAAGAGCCCCAAGATAATTATTTGGGTACAAAGATGGGACAAACTAAATCTTAAACATCTCTAATTTTTCCAGTACCTCTTGTTGAAAATTGCATTGTTTTGCATGTTCATACAGGCAAAAGAAAACATCTAACAGCTAATTCTGAAATATGAGCATAAAAGTATTAAAATTAAATGTTAGTAGTGGCATTATATCACATTATGTTGCTTGAAAAAAGCAAGGCTTACCTCTCCGACATGATTTTTTCTGAAATGATTTAAATTTCAAATTCAGCTGAAGAGAATGACTACTTTGAATCAGTAGGATAAAGATGTTCTGCAGACTTTAAAGGTCATGTATTATGCAATATACACTTGACCATGTTTTTCTAACACTAATGTGTCCCCAGTCTGTCAAATAATTTAAAAAAGTCCATCCTCTCTGTCTTTTTCCTGCTCCAACAGAAAATGTGTGCTTAAACAGGCCATTTGGAGATTTTCCAAAGTAACCCCTCCCCCAGGCGGATGACACTCCCACAGCTAGGTGTTTGCTCTGCCCTCATAGTCTGCTTTCTCATTTTCAACAATTGGACATGGTGCAAGAAAGCCAGAGCCACCCAAACCTTTCCAGAGGGCGTGGTCAGACACAGTTCATTTGCATTTAAAGCTACAGACACAGAAACAGCCTGTTCTGATCAGGGCTGAAATAGAGGGGTTTATAGACATATAAAATACATCATAATAAAATGTATAACTTGTTGAAAAGGATAATATGTGACCTTTGATATGTTTTAAGAGCTGTTAAATAGATGATATGAAGATGAAACACACGAAGGCAGGTTGTGAAAAGACATTTCTTTATAAATCTAAAAAAAAATCAGCATTTCATAAATTAAAGATGTTTAACAAGGCATTCATTTAACAATTAATCTGTTTGGGACTTATCCATGCCCACATTTTAGCACTGATTGAAATTATGCAGCAGGTAGCAGTAGAGTCTGGACCTGAACCAAGAGGTGACTTTATAATTTCTAAAGTTTAAATTTAGAAGTAAAACAAAAGCAAAGAGCATGAGCAAAATAGCTCATACTATAATACTAATGCATGTACAAAGAAAGGTGGTTGAGTTTGCATAACAGATAAGGCAGGTTGTCTATATGCTGGCTTGTATTAAGATTTCTGCTGACTCAGCTTTATTCTTAGTCCAAAGGGGAAGAAGCGCGGCCTGAGGAAGTAACACCTGACATCAACCTGCGAAACACTGGCATCATTGACAGCCAAGAAATTACAGAGAGAAACGTGAACAACATTCTGATGCTTGAATACTAAATCATGCAAGAACAAATGTTTACGTGCAAAACTAATGAGATGCTCTTCAACATGTTTCTGTAGGAGTGTCTCTGATTGCACAATGATCAGGCAATGTGATGGAGCTTTTGTTTATTTAACAGGGATTTGACAGGACGTGTGTGATTCATAATGACTTTAGCATTTAAGGGCACATAATTCGACACAACTGTGCTTATGCAACGCCTACAAATATATCTGTAATTTCTAGAGTACTAAAAGTGGAACTGAGACCAATTAACTGGTTCTTCGGCCTTGGATGTTGTGTTTGCAATAAATACAAATCTTTCTTTAACAAGCAGAAATAGAATCTTTTATTACCTGTAAGACTTTGGTTCTTTCACTTGTGGGAACTTTTTGATGAGCACTAACTTCAAGATGGTCACATAAAGCCACACCTTGTTTAATGAGGTTGAATTGTGTTTGCCAAATTTCTCAGTCATTGTTTGCTATGGCAAACCAGTTTTTGCAATTGGCAGTTTTAAGTCAATTCATTTGGCTTAGAATATAAAGATTATACCTCTAACAGTGCAAAGTGATTAATTTAAAAGTGATAAAAAAGCCTCATAAATCTAAATATCACCAGTGACACCAGAAAGCTCTCACTGCTTTTGTTGGATTCTGTGTTACATAATGCACAGTGTAATAAAATGACAGGTGTCTGGCTCCGGGAGCTCATTCTAAAGCCTTAGATGATAAATTATCTGGGTGGAGTACAACTGAATTCGAAAGATGTGCAGCTCATCTGCCACATGCATGAAAGGGTGTGATGAGACGTGAGGAGGTTCACTGAAACTCTTTCTGATGCACCAGCGACGATGACTAAGGATGAGCTTAAGTTCTCAATAAGAGATGATTCATGGAGTCATTTTACGGTAAATCTCCGCCGGCTTTATTAACACTTAAAGACACAAGGTGAACCATTCAACATCACACTCATACATGTTTGTAAAAAGCTGTCTTTACTAAATGTAAACACACGTCGCTGCTTAAGATAATGAGCCTGTTCTTAAAGGCATAATGACAAAATCTAACAACTGAACATTTTCTGTAATTCATTTTCAATTTACAATGTTACATTATGATATACACTCATCGACCACTTTATGAGGTACACCTTGCGGATTGGAGGGGTTGGACCCTCTTTTGCCTTCAGAACTGCCTTAATTCTTCGTGGCATAGATTCAACAAGGTGCTGGAAAGAGATTTTGTTCCATATTGAAATGATATCATCACACAGTTGCTGCCGATTAGTCGGCTGCACATCAATGAGACGATCTCCCGTTCCACCACATCTCAAAGGTGCTGTATTTGAATTGAGATCTGGTGACTGTGGAGGCCATTTGAGTACAGTGAACTCATTGTCATGCTCAAGAAATCAGTGTGATATGATATGAGCTTTGTGACATGGCGCTGCTGGAAGTAGCCATCTGAAGATGGGTACACTGTGATCATAAAGGGTTGGACATGGTGAGCAACGATGCTCAGGTAGGCTGTGGCGTTTAAATGATGCTCAATTAGTACACAGGGACCTTGGCTGTAACAAGTGGTTATTTGAGTTACTGTTGCCTTTTTATCAGCTCGAACCAGTCTGGCCATTCTCCTCTGACCTCTGACCTCTGGCATCAACAAGAGAACTGCCGTTCACTGGATATTTTCTTTTTTTCAGACCATTCTCTGTAAACCCTTGAGATAAAGTGGCTGGTGAGTGTATAACAAACAGGGATTTTAGTGCAAAATAAAATCTTAACCCTAAACTTATAAAGCAGGTGCATGGAACCAGAGAGGAACAGACACAGTACTTATATTTAAAGACATTTGACATTTGAAAAAAAAAAAAGGTTATTAAAGTTTGCATCTGGTTGCTAACATGTTACATATCAACCTTCACCCAATTTTCCTACAGTGCTTCTGTTTGTTACTTTAAGATGATGGAATGATTATATGGTTATTATATGTTAAAAAATCTCTAAGTCTTTGTGAAATGAAAAAGGATGCTGCTTAGCCTTCGGAGCGTTTCCATCCCCGTGGATGTGCTGAGGACTTGCAGGTGAGTTTTGGCAGAGGAGGACTTTCAGAGATAGGTTTGGGCTGCAGAGTTAATCCACTATTTGAATTGACTTTTGTGCCGCTGTGGTAATGTCGTTCACAAATGAGGCCTTAGTCATCCCTTGCTGCAGGATCAATAGAAAAACATAAATCAGTTTTCTATCTCAGAAATAATGATGCACAAACACAAAGTGACACATCAGCAAACACATGAACAAAGCTCCACTGTTAACACAGACATTTCTTGATTTAAAAAAATAAAATAAGTGGAAGTAAAGCAACAACAACTGAGGTTGAGAAATGAAGAGAACGCAACAGTGCCAAAATCTGCAGTACCTGGAGCGGTCACTCGAGGCTGGCTCCGAAGTGAGTCAATCCCCATCATGCCTCACATAAATATGGCAAATGTAACAACAGACTTATAATGTTTACAGCTGGTACCAAAAAAAAAAGAGAGACCATTTTGTTCTTTTTTAGCTTTCATGAACTGTATAAATTGTAAAATGGATTGAGAGATTAAGGCGAATGCTAGGTGTTACTCTTGCTATTTCACTCACTGAACTTGACCTCTCGGCTGTGTTTGTATTGTCGGTGCCTTTTAAGGACTTTTCATGCAAATATTAGACAGATTATATAAGTGGTTTACAATTTACCAACAGATCCGAGACATATGCTTCTTCAGTGAGTTTAATTCAAGTATGAGTGTATTTGGATGTTAGCATTTAGCATTGATTTATGAATGGTTCCCAGGCGTAGGAGTCAGGATTGTTTGTATAAATAACCTTGGTAATACAAAGAGCAGTCCTTTAAAGTGACCCAGTACATTGCTTTTTAGTCTTAAGATATCCAGTCATCTACAACCAGAAATATAATTTTATTCTGTGGGAAACTCAATGGTTGAGTAGTTCATTCGCCAGTTTAAGAATTAGCCATGGGCATCATCTGTATTACTTTGATATCTTGATAGCTTTACCTCTCCCCTCTTAGCCAAAGGATTGATTTCTACTATGATTAAACAATCTGATCAAACTCTGCTTACAGGGTGCCAAACCTAAGTCTTCAAAAAGACAGTTGTCAGACTGATGGCTGACGCCAGGATGGCTACTGGGGTTTGCACAGACTTGTCGACTAGTTGACTTTACAGCTGGTGACAAACCTGCTGTTTCTGTATGTGTAAACTCTCTGATTTCAGCAGCACATGGAATAAGTTTTGCAAATACATATTTTTGGCTGGTGGCAAAGCTTTACGTAATGGCTACGTCCATTATTTCACTGGTTAAAATGTACTCGTACACTAAGAAGCAGCATTATGCATCTTGCTAATATGCTGTCTTACAAGTGCAAACATTGCCCTGCATGTGTTCCTCTGAACCTGAGCTGCTAGATTCCAAAGCTGTATCTTTTTAGTGCCTCATTTATGTTGGCTGGGCACTTTCTGAGAACTCTGTCTAATCCCTACAACCTTTCTCCTTCAGTTTCTCACAAATACCTGAGAGAGGTGTGGACGCTTTAGCTGAGGGTAGCAAAAGGAGCGAGGACACACCCAAACCCTGACAGATCTTGGCACTTAGAGTTATGATTCATCTCACCTTCTTCAGGAAGCCTTGCAAATCTTTTTCTGACCAGAGGTTGTAGAGGAGCAGAGCTGCAGCTTTTTTAGACTTTGGAAAATATCTAAAAGGAAGGAAAGCAATAATTAAAGATCAGTTTGGACTTGTGGAAATCTAACATGTCTGCATAACACAATCCCTGGTGAGTCATAGGTATTCCCCGTGTCTTGTATTATTTTATCTAGTGCGTAGGCAGATACACTCTCGCTCTGCTTATAAGCAGCCTTACTCGTTTTGGCTGAGTTCATTCAGTGAGTTTATCAGCTTGTGGTTTAACAGGTGCTTGCCCATCTCAGGATCCTTCATAAGCAGGTAGTTGGCGGTCCGGCAGGCCATGGATAATGTATCGTCAGACATGTCCCCTCCCTTGGTGCCGGCGTTGATGATGCTCAGCAGCTCTGGGAGGGCTTTACGAGCTTCAGAAACAAGACAAACAAAAGCCCACGGGGCTGTTTAACATGAGCAAACACTGCAAGTGAACACTTAAAATGATCAATTTCCAACCTGCCAAATACCTAAAAGGAGACTCTAAAGATTTATTTTCTGTCATATTTAAGTATTTTAAATGTTTCATCATGTTTATAACAAGCAGGTGATGTGTTTTTAATGGAAATTCCATCCTACACCTGCGTCTTACCGAGGGTATTGTTCAGGTTTGGGTTCTTGGTCAGGTTTCCTACCAAAGCCACTGCATTCCTCTGCAGGTTGACTTTGTTTGACTTTAAAAGGGGACTGATAACTTTCAGGCCATTTAGCTTCTGTACAATGATCTGGCTCATTACACTGGAGACCTGTAAATAAAGAAAACCCCCGGTTGAGTGCATGAATTCACTGTAATAATACAATTTAAAATATTCTTCTTTTGTTTTCTTTTTCTTTTCTTACAATGCCCTCCTGAGTGGTGAGGTTCTGCATCGCTCCACAGCAGGCTTCTTGGGTTTCTTCTTGCTGGCTGGTGGCGAGCAAAGACAGGTAACTCTTCAGGGTTTGGGAGTGAATCAGCCAACCCGCTCCGTTCGGCTGTGGCTCCTCAACGACTGGGAAGTCAAAGTGGCGCTAGAACAGCAAGGAGACAGATCATCCTCAGCACAAACGGAAATGTTTTTTTTACTTTAAAAAAAACAACTAAATTTTAAAGATTGTGAGGAAAAAAATGTGTAAATCAAAATGTTTTTTTTTTTTTTCAAACGTTGTCCCTATGCACGAAGCAAAGAAGCAACACTTTGAACACTTGTGTTTATCTTGCCTACAGACTCCATACAAAGGAAAAAGGAAAAAGGTATCACCTTCAGAAATCAGGGCACAGAGCTTTACAGGCCAGCTTAATGCCATTCAAAAGATTTAATGTAATCATTATTGCCATAATGTTTATACAATTACAGTATAAGCCACACTGAGGAATAGGATTAATGGCAGTATGCATTCTGACAGGTACTGTCTAGACAAACTGACAGGTACTATCAACAGGTACTCCTGATTCACCGTCATAACCAGAAGTATCCCCTGGGCATCAGTATGTTTGTTGATCTCTGTTATCGTCTCACCTCTTGTTCTGGTGATTTGCTCGGCGGACTGAAGCAGCCGATGGGGCCGCTGTCACCTGTTGACTGGCTCCTGTTCACATTTTTGGCCAAAGCTGTGATCCTGCTGAAAAGAGCCGGAGCCTCGTCCTCCAGCTGGAACGTCAGGTTGTGCAGGATGCACACGCAGTTTTCTACAGACTGTTTCGAAAAGGTAACACACAACACAAGGGCGATTGTTATACTCTGTGTGTGTACGCGTGTTGAACCTTGATTTCACACAGAAAAGGCAACACCTCAATTTAGTTGTCGAGCACTTTCCCACACACTATTGTTTTGCTTTGTGACATATTTAATCGGATTGTTAGACGGTGCAGGATCGGTTATTACTTTGCACCATCCCTGTAAATTAAATTGGTAGCTGAAAACAAAATATTTCTCAGTCTATTGTGAATGGAGATACTTTGCCTTTAATTAAGCTGCAACACTGAAATCGCTAACATCAAAGGGATTTGAGGCTGAGAAATTAAGACAACATTTGACTGCCTTTCCTGCATTAAAACACTTTGAAGAAGCTCTGGTATAAAAAAAAACAATCTCATAAATGTGTGTCACATTTTGCAAAAATTACTTTGTTATATTTATTTTAGTGATCAGGTTTAAACAAACTTCTCTGGCTTAGTTGAATTAAAAATGGTTTGGGACTTACATTTTAACTCAATCAGAAGAAACTGATAGTGACAGAAATAAGACGTGTGCAGATGAGAGCTTTTTAGTTTTCTAAAGGAAGTTTTGCAGAAGAATACAGAGCACAACCGCAGTATGACTCAGCGATGTGTTTCTTGCAGTAGAATTATTTCTTTCTGCAAATGACAATGATCATCTAAATACGGCTCATGCAGCTTAACTTTAAACTGCGGCTCCTCACTGCATAGTCAGTCGATTTATCTCAAAAAGAGCTGAATGCAGACACAATTACAATAGTTACAATTACCTTATTCAACATGTGTCCAAAGTAAATCTTCATGCATTTATGAAACATACTTATTTCAGGTTTAAGGGTAAAGTGTGAAGCAGTCTTGGTGAAATGGTTAATATGCTTGGCCTTTTTTTACCTTTGCCTTTCTTTGTGTGTGTTTATGAGCTCAGACTTGAACACTTGTAGGATATTCCAATTTCTAATATCCATTTTTGGTAATGTCAAACATAATTTAGGGACAAATTTCAAGTGAAAGAAGGAGAGAGAGTAACAGAGACAGAGCGATAGAGGAGACACAGTTGACCTTGCTGAATAAATCAACCCTTACCTTATCATCTGGCCTTCCTGCGTCCACACAGTCTCCTACATAACTGACCAAAGAGTCGACCAAACCTCGACATTTTCTCATCGCCTGTCGGTTGTTTTGCTTTGCACTGCTGATGTTTCTGTGCAAAATAAAGATGTTTTACATTCTAGTTTAGAGAAAACAGACATTCACATTAATGTAGGAGGTAAAAGAGAAGAGGTATGAGGTGTCTTTTTATGAACACACAGATTGTATTCACAAATACGTTTTTGCAAATATATATGTAGGCATTACTCAGGAACAGATTGACACCGTTTGACCCAATCATGTCAGAGTTAATAAGAAAGGATTTAATAGAAAGTTTGACTGATAGGATTCCACATGGCGTTGAAAGCAAACAACAGTAATCTCGTATAAGCTCAAGGAAGTGAATAAAATACAGCAACAGTGGAGTCAACCAGTAACAACACCTCCCAGAGTGAATCAGGAAGTCAGTTCAATCTTTTTCATCTCTCCCATGTGAATGGCTCACACAGAATTCATGATAACAACGGAATAAGTAGCAACACCCTTTGGACGATCGATGGTCGTGTGACGCACATCGATTTCAAAGGAGGGTTATAAAAAAAAAACCTCCAGACGCTTCTGCCTGACAATCTCGTATTTTTTTTGTTTTTTTAAGCAGCAACTGAAGAAGCAAAAACCTCTGCACACAATACTTTGGCTTCATCTTTGTGCAACAAGAAAAGTTATTTCTATCATCCCGGGAAAGATTGAGCAACACCTGTATGTGAAAGTTTGCACAGCTGCATAAAAAACCCTGCAGTGCAGTTTAACAGCACAGCCAAGTCCAGCCTTCTAAAATGAAAATATCTATCTAGAAGTATTAACATTAATGTTTGTTTTTACGGAATTATTTAATGCAGAGTTTCTGAATCAAACTACATTTACATCTCATTTAATGTAAGGTCTTATTTAATCAAAGTAAAACACTACAAATATTTGTTCAATGGGTGAGCAAATAAATCAATGTTTTAGCTCATCAATTAGCATATGCTACATATACAATATATATCCACTTTATTGAAGAAGTATTTGAAAAAAATCTGTGTTTCCCTTTACTTTGAAACCAAGAACATCATGCTCATTACAACCCTACCCACCTAGATATCAACAGTTTGAAGGGTTTGGATGTTTGACAGAGTGTACTTCTATTATTATTACTAAGCAAGTTATTTAAAGTGACAGTGTTTTGAGCACATTTAAGTCTTCCCTGCCTCTTGTTCACTTCTATAATGACTGATTCAACATGTTGATGATGCAGAGCAAGCAATTATTTACATGGTTTGTTTCAGTCTTGGCTTATCATGAATCTATCATCATGCATATAATCATAATCTACAATTCATTTAGCAGACACTTTTATCCAAAGTGACGTACATCAGAGAGTAAGAACAACACAAGCCAGTTTAGGAGGAAACAACGTCAGTAAGTGCTAAAGAAATGCTTTAAGTTTGCACCGGTGCTGACAGGCAAACGCAGAGGCAAAGCATATTAAAAAAAAATGTCATCATCAACAACAACATGAACAGCTTCTCATGAGAATTCTTATCAGCATCAACAACATCCTAAATATCATTGTCATCATCTTCATCATCATTATCATTATCAGTGACATGGATATCATTAAGTGCGTAAGTGTTCCTGAAAGAGGTAAGTCTTCAGCTTTGTCTCAAAGGCTGAAAGGGACTCTGCAGATTGAATATAGGTTGGTACAATACATATACCACGTATTTGTGTATATGCATATAAACATCGCACAAAAAGTAAGGAAATGTGTGTTTGGTAGATTATTTCTTTGTTGTAACAATGCTTTTTGGCAATAAATCTTTATTTCTCTTTTAAATGGTGCCACATTTGTAAGGAACATGCATTCTTGGAATGAGCAGCAGAGCTGAGTATGTGGGTCGCACCCATGAAATACTTGCCAAATCTTCTCTGCCAACAAAGAAATAATCGACCAAACACAAATTTCATTACTTTGTCGGATGTTTATGTATCAACCATATGTACAAATTAATTTGACCTTTGCAGGGAAACATTTAAAAGGCATACAAAGTTTAAGCTTTGTCATGAGCCACACAGGGGAAACATGATCAGCATACGAAAGCCAAAGCAAAGTCACGTCTGGAGACGCTGTGTGGAGTTTCTTGCTTACCTTAGACATGCGGTGGCGTGATAGAAGACCTCGGGGTCACTGTTGGACTGGTCAGGACCTGTGGTGTAAGGCAGGATCACGCGCTCCATCAAAACCGGCAGAGCGCTCTTCAGCAGGTCTGGCTTCAGGCTGTCCACGGAGGACAGATTCCACAGGAGACCTGGAACGAGTAAACATTAGCTCTTTAAGCAGAAGGTCAAACAAACACTTACTTATTGCTTGAGTCAAAAATAGTTAACAGTTATATTGTTTGAATAGATTCAACATTCACTTGAGGCTGATGGCAACAACATTTTCTGGATACAGTTCAAATGCAATCATATTTTAACCACAGAACATATGTATCCAAATCAACATTTGGATACACGTTACTGCAAGCACAGAAGCAAGTCGATTTTGGCAACGTGATTTAAGCTCTATTAACACTTTGTGGTACGACGAAACTCAAGAAGAGGCTTAATGATTCACAGCAGTAGTCAAACAGGGTTCTAGTATCTCCTCTCTCCTGCCTCTGTCTGCTTTGTTTGCACTAAAAGATGTTTGTATGTGAATGCATGCACAGTCGCATATTTCAGAGTTTACTCATACCTGTCAGCTGTTTCTGTATCTCCACAGAGTCGGTCTCTCTGAGCAGAGCCACGGCCTCGGTGATACCGCCGCAGCGATGCATCGCCTCCTTGTTAGTGTTGCTTTTAAAGGACAGGTTTCGCAGAGCAGCAGAGGCCGTCTGGTTCACTTGAACACTGGGACTGCGTAGAAGACCCACCAGAGGAGGGATCCCACTCAGCTTTAACACCTGCAAAACAAGAGGGTGTCATGAGTTAACACAGCTGAGGGAATCATTTTCAAACAGTCACATTAATATCAAATCAATCACACAAAGGTACAGTTATACTTTACTTTGGGAAAATAGCACCAAAAACACATGTCAGAGGCAAAGCTGCTAAATAAACTAAGAAATGTCAACCATGCAGACTCTCTAAGAGAGATTACATTAAACATTAGCAGCTGCATTTTAAAGATACATTTCTTGAAATTATAACCATGTTTTTGATGATAAAAACAGCCCTGCATTTTTCAGCAGTAGCCTTTTTATTTGTTACTCTCCTGTTGTTACCTCTGTATGTAGTAGTTTTCAGTTCAGATTTTCAATGCATACACAAGTGACTCATGGGAAGTCTAACAAGGCCGTATTAAAGCTAAATGCTAATGCAAACTGGACATTTTCTATTGTTACAGGCTCAAGTTGAAGCATTAACCTGGGGAAACAGAGCAGCTTTTATCATCCAATCACATAACTTTGTTTGGGCTGTGCTGTTAACATACACCAGCTGCTCTGTTATGTATTTCACAAAATAAAACTTGGTTAAGCACAAACACTTGAGAAAAAAAGGGCGAAATACCTCAAATTCTGTAAGATCCCTCCCTAACAGCATAATTGTAAAATGCCACAGAGGAGTGAGAGGCAGTAATGTGGGAGGCGTGTCGTTGTGGTTTTGGTGGAGTTTGACCTCAGTTGAACTGAGCCTGCAGTTTTACTACGAGATTCTCTCTGCTGTTTGAGCGAGTGTGGACGACGCCCTTTAGTAGTTGTTATCACATTATTTATCTACAATTCTACAATTCTACAATTCACTTAGCAGACGCTTTTATCCAAAGCGACGTACATCAGAGAGTAAGTACAACACAAGCAAGAATCTAGAAAAGAAAGGGAACAATGTCAGTAAGAGCAAACGATCTAGCTTTTTCAGATTGAATGGAGTTTGGAAGTTCATTCCACCACCGGGAGAAGAGTCTAGACAGCGTCTGAGGACCCTGTTGTGAAGGTTGGATCAGACGCCTTTCATTGGCAGAGCGTAGTGGGCGGGAGGGAGTGTAGACCTGGATGAGAAAGTTAGAGTAAGGAGGAGCCGTTTTTGTCGCTGTTTTGTACGCGAGCAGCAGAGTTTTAAATCTGATGCGAGCAGTAACTGGGAGCCCGTGTAAGGAGATGAACAGCGGAGTGACATGTGCTCTTTTAGGAAGGTTGAAGACCAGTCGTGCTGCTGCATTTTGTATAATTTGCAGAGGTTTGATAGTGCATGTAGGAAGACCTGCCAGTAGAGAGTTGCAATAATCGATGCGTGATATCACAAGAGCCTGTACCAGGAGCTGAGTAGCATCCTCTGACAGGTAAGGTCTGATCTTCCTGATGTTGTACAGGGAAAATCGACATGACCGGGCAATCGAGGCTACTTGAACCTTAAAACTTAGCTGGTCATCAATCATGACACCTAGGTTCCGGGGAAACTTTGTGGGCATGAGCTTGGTTGTTCCAAGCTGGATATTGATCTGTGGTTGCATAGAAGGACTGGCTGGGATGAGAAGGAGCTCAGTCTTTGAAAGGTTGAGTTGAAGGTGCCGTTCATTCATCCATTTAGAGATATCAGCAAGGCATGATGAGATTCTTGCAGAGACTGTAACATCGTCTGGCGGGAATGACAGGAAGAGCTGGGTATCGTCAGCATAGCAGTGGTATGAGAAGCCATGAGAGCAGATTATTGAACCAAGTGAGCTTGTGTATATTGAGAAGAGAAGGGGACCAAGCACTGATCCTTGAGGATAAGCTGTGCGCTTTGGACACTTCTCCCTTCCACGACACTCTAAAGGATTGCCCAGAGAGGTAGGACACGAACCAGCAGAGGGCAGATCCTGAGATCATCTTCAGCAAAGGTGACTCTTCATCAGCCTTATATGTGTTGTTAAGCTTTGCATATTACAAAGTCCTCAACAGGCCCTAATAAATTGTGTTTAAAGCCTCTTATGAAGCGTAATAGTTCATTTATGATGTTTGTTTCTGCTTATCAGACGTGCTAATGCAAACATTATCAACAGCTGTGAACTGCACATTCTGAGGCTATAAGCCATAGTTCTTCTTTTAATGCTTGGCACATTAGCTGCTCTCACATACACAGAGTCTAAAGTATGAAATATGCCTTTTTAAGATAGGACGGCTGAAGAGAGACAGTTCATGTTGGGAGGAGAGAGTGGGAGGGATGACATGCAGCAAAGGGCAGAGGTGGGATCCAAACCTTCAGCCACTGCAACGAGGATTAAAGCCTCCGTATATGGGGCATGGCACATAACCGCTAGGCTATCTAGCGCCCCATTTTGGCAGCTTTTTTAACAGACGTGTGTTAAAAACTGGAGAAAATACAAATTTAATGTCATATGTCCTCTTTGACTTGTTTATATCATTTACCAATATCAAGTTTTCTCTCAGAAATATGCACCAATGAAGTACAGTATCAACTAACAATTCATTTTTTCCAAATTGTAGTAGTGTTTTTTGTTTTGCTGCATGCTCCTTAGTTGAGGTAGTTGCTAAATAACAGCTCAACTGGACTCGTACAGTTTGTTATCTTGTTCCCTTAGAAAGGATTAAAAACACATTCTTTCTGGTCCCCATAACAAGTCAAACCAACCTTGGTCAGTGTGACCTAATTCGAAAAATATCTCACTTCAGGGTGAAAATTTTAATTCAGCACACATGGCACACATGGATATCAGCAGACACGGTGAGAGTAGATAATGACTCAAATTTGGCAGGAAAATACATCCGATATTTTCCTTCAACTTTTCTTACCTGCTATTTGTCAAACTCCCCTCACCACTAACTCTCAGGTTACACCCAGATGGAAATTATGATCAGTCTAACTTGATAAGATAACAAAGCACCACACCTCGTCTTTGGCCTTGTCATCAATAAAAGTATTGTGCTGTATGAAGGATGCGCCGCAGTGCTGATACGTCTCATCATTGTTGGACAGATACTCCACAGCCTCCTTTATGGTGATGTCTGCAGCGCCACTGTTTCCAGTTGACCTGCAAGATGAACAGTAACACAAAGAAATGGTTTGTTAGTTCAAATATTATTCACATGATCTATAAAATTGATTCATGTCAGTGAAAGAAAAACTCACCCAGAATCTATTTGAGTCTTGGTCGCACTCTCGGTAACCGGAGACTTTGGAAGAGTTTTCAAAGTTTCAACTTTGCTGTTCACAAACTGAGTGTTTGTTTTGGTCAGACCTGTGCCGTTCACAGCGGTGAAAACAGGCTGCAGGTGAGTGGGAGACTGAATCTGAGCCTGGCTTTGAGACTGAATCTGAACCTGGCTATAAGTCTGAAACTGAGGCTGGCTATGAGTCTGCATCTGAGCCTGGCTATGAGACTGAATCTGAGCCTGGCTATGAGACTGAATCTGAGCCTGGCTATGAGTCTGCATCTGAGCCTGGCTATGAGACTGAATCTGAGCCTGGCTATGAGACTGAATCTGAGCCTGGCTATGAGACTGAATCTGAGGCTGGTAATGGTCTGAATCTGAGCCTGGCTATGAGACTGAATCTGAGGCTGGTAATGGGTCTGAATCTGAGCCTGGCTATGAGACTGAATCTGAGGCTGAGACTGAAACTGACTTATGGGCCTTTCGATCCTCCTGGTGCTCATGTTTGAGAGGAGTATCTGTGAAGCCCCAGAGCGTTTTGGCATAGAGCGCTGCCAGGCCAGATCTGGCTCACTGCGACTGGTTGTATTTTTCCCAACTGCCACGGAGCCGCCTGCACCTAAGCTCTCATAGTGATAGTTAGAAGCTGCAGCGTTCTTCTTCAAAGTGGATCTTGTTTGGTTGTTGACGACCTGACGGCTGATGTTCTTCTCCAGAGTGAGCTGCAGAGCCAAAGAATACATATGTTTGTGATGAATGCCCTTTCTTTACAAGGCTTATTTCAACAGCAAATATGTGAGGCGACAGAGTGATCGACACTGAGCTGTCAAATCAAATTGAGAAAGATCGTTTTTGGTGTTCAGTAAAGCAGCTTGTTTATATGAAACTCTGGTAACCTCCGTGGGAATGTCTCGAAAACACATTTTAGTTTGACAAGAGGAAATAACTGGAATGATGTGGAAACAGGTATTTGAGGAGGAATTGGGCGAAAAGTCAACTGAGGACAACATTCTCAAGCCATTGAGTCATACTATTGGTAAGAGGGCCTCATCATATGTAATATACGTAAAGAAATTATCTGTTTATAATACTGCAACAATCAGGATTAGATTTTGGGAAAAATAACACTGTGATTAACTAGAAGCCAGCCCGTACAAGGGTTGAAGGCAGGATAACAAAAAAATCTGAGGTCTGTTTAAAAGACTCACCGTTAAAAATACACATTTAATCCAAGAAAAGTTAGTGTCATGACCCTTAGATTGCTGATTTGATCCATCCATAATGCAGTTAATGAACAGCAGACAAGGTAGAGGAGACCATTAAAAGTAGAGCCCAACCGGTTAATCAGCCAGCCAATAATATCGGCCGATATAAATTTATCCAGTCACTATCGGTATCAGCTAATTTTATAGCAGATATGCGCCGATATTACAAAATGTATTCCCCAGTCAAAAAGCATTTCATTTGAGTTTCATTGTATTGAACTAGCAGTTCTCCAGAGTCAAGCAGTGAGAGAGAATAAAACCTGAATGTGGCAGTAATGCTACACTGCAGTACTCGAATACTTCTGACTTAATACTTCTGCTGTCTGCCACTTTTTGCATCGTTTTTATATTTCTTAATTACCTATTTTTATTTTAAGGGTGTTTATATGCTCTATTTTGTTCCCATTTCTATTATAGATTTCTATATTTGGTAAAAGAGCAACTGTATCCCTATATCGGATTCTGTAAAACCGTTAAAAAAACAATTCCCTCTATGCAACCTCTCCCTCGTAGAAATGTGATCATTCATATCGTTTTAGACACTTTTATTAGATATTTTTTTCTTCTAATGCGATAATAATTAGTCAGCAGACTGAATAGTCAACTCATTTGTTAGAGGAAAACTGAATTTGTGTTCTGTCTTTAGTGTTGTTGTGATTTATGGTGTAAAGACCCGGAGGGACCAGCGTAGGAAATTAGCTTTTGAAACACTGTAGGTTTGACATTTGTTCATCAGCACATTTTTGTCCCTACACAGAAAAACACATATTGGTAAAAAAGCTAATTCCAAGGTATTAACTTAAAAAAATAACAACTAAATCAGCCAAATAAAACTATTTGCGTCATTTGTTCAGAGCAGAAGAAAGAAAAACTCCTCCCCATGTTGCTTCAAGGCCACAAATATGAGACACAGACCTCGGTGGTTACTAAAGCCCTCCTGCAGACCAACATTTATTCTCCATGACAACACTGAAGATAACAACAATACCGGGAACAAGAGTCAGACAAAAATACAGAAAAGCTCCATAACTTACAGCTTTAGAAAATCCATTCCCAAAGAAGACACCTCCATTAGCTGCACTCGTCCTGGAGCCATCCACAAACACAGTCTCACACGCAGGGCCTGAGGAGAAATGTTTATCAGCTGTTATCATATGTACTATATTATATCAGTTATATTATACACCTGACATCAGTTATATTATGAGATAAAGATAAAGAAAAACTTTATTGATCCCCCGTGGGGGAAATTTGTGCATTACAGCAGCTCCAGAAAACAGGGGGCGGGAACATAATTATTCAAAACGAAAATAGAAGTTAAAATCAAAACAAACATATTTACATCAGTTAAATAAAAAAATACAATAATGAAAAATTACACAGTAACTACACAGGAAAGGGTTATTGTTCTTAAAAAAACACACACAGTGTGTAGCATGAGGTGGTGATGCTGTTAAAGAGTCTGATTAAACAGTCTGACGGCAGATGGGATGAACGACCTGCGGTAGCGCTCTGTCTTGCAGGGTGGGTGTCTGAGTCTGCTGAGTCATACAGGGGGTGAGAGGGGTTGTCCATGATGATCAGCATACCTGACATCAGTTATATTATATTCCTGACATCAGTTATATTATATACCTCACATCAGTTAGCTTGAGTTTTCATGTAACTTAAAGAGGAATTTAAGTCCAAAAAGAACGGGGAAAAAGCACACAAATACACAACGACCTACTTTATATCTGTAGAAATAAGAGCACTATAACTGGCTATAATGGAGAAAGAGCAAATCATAATTTAATATTTCACGAGCATTTTTCAATGTTAACTTGTCTAAACAGAACCATATTACATTTTAAAATCATACTTCTCCTCTGGTGGAGACGGTGGAAACAACTATTCTTAGTTTGTTTTTTAAATTTTTTTATCTTGATGATTTAAAATAAAATATGAAAAAGTGAACAATATTCAGGAGTATCTTCTAAAAAAAATAATATAAGGCCATCTTAAATCATTAATTGTCACAAATAAGTGAATAGCTTGAAGTATCCAAGTTCATGACGCACCAAATACATTTGATCTCCAAACAACAAAGTCTGAAAGGAAGTCTGAGGCCTTCTTCACAGGTAACAAACTTAGCCCACTCACTTCATCTTTAAGGTCAAAGAAGTCAAATCCACGCACATTTATTCTTCAAAATACTGAAAGTGTGTAGTTATAAAGACTTCCACAGGATTAAAAACCTGACCTCAGTGTCATGTCAAGGAATTGAAATATAATGCAGTTTGTAATTTAGCATTTATTAGTATTTTCTGACACTTTCATTAACAGGAAAAAATTGTTCAAAAGAAATATTCTGAAAGGGGCGCTGGTGGTGCAGCGGTTAGTGTGCATGCCCCATGTAGCCTATGTATTCCTTCAAGCGGGCGGCCCAGGTTCAAATCCGACCTGTGGCTCCTTTCCCGCATGCCATTCTCAATTCTCTCTCTCTCCCTGAATTCCCACTATATCCACTGTCCTATCTCTCCAAGTAAGACACAAAATGCCCAAACATAAAGTCCTAAAAAACAATTAAAGCAAACACTACAAGTGAAATCTGAATATTGTGTCTCCACTTTCAATAAGGAGTTCCAGATTACATGATTAAAAACATCCTGCGACATTACAAGCAAACTACTGAACAGATGTATTGTACATTTAGTTTCAAACATTGGCGTCTGGATGTATTTGGTGTTTGTAGAACAATAGGCTTAAATAGTTGTCACAATAGGATGAACAAGTTCCTCGAACTCTCTCCCCCCCGCCCCCTATAAATCCCGATCTGTATATACATGCAGTATAGCCTACATCTCTGTCCCTGGGGTATGAACAACAGTGCTGTCTGCTCTTACTTGTTGGAGACAAAGAAGTAGATCCCCCGCTCCTGTTGCTGGAATGTCTCGACTTGGTCCTCCGGAGAGTTTGCACTTGTTCCAGGACGCGCTGTTGTCCTGAATTGAACTGATTCACAGACGGCAGAGCCAGAGACGTGTCGTCCACATTAAGGATGGAAATGGCTGATTTCAGCGGGTCTACACTCGTCATTTTGTATTTTATTTTTTGAACTGTCCGTCGCCGATCGCCGATTCACCAGTGTCCACAGGAGGCTCAAACAGGAAGCCAGTCAGCCAGCCTTCGGTGTCGGTGAGTTCGTCTGAAGTAATAAAAGCGCACCTTGCCCTGCCCTGCCTGCTCCATTAGACCGCGCCCAGACCCACAGGCACAAACACAAAACGCCTACGATTCTAAACTGAGGGCTGGCTCATGAGCTTTCACTGTGCACTTTCTCTGACTTGTATTGACAAACGCCTTTCTTTATAATGGACCTGTGAGGCTGGTTAACATGACCCCCAAGGGCAAACAGTTTCAGGAAATACTGCAGAGCTGTGCAATTAACGACACCTGTAGAGTATTTTCATTGTAGAGTATACCACTTAGTTTATACTTCATTCATATGCAGAGATAGACACTACACTTTTTCATAAACTATTATGAGAACACTGCCATTGGCTTTAATTGGGTAAAGTAATGTGTAATCAGTCAAATCTACATGATAAACAATAAGAAACACTGGCTCAGCAGTAAATTTTCCCCTAAGATCAATGTATGTTTGACATGAAATATGACATGACATGTTTATGACTGATGTAAAGGTGATAAGTTGTGGCTTCTCTGGTTCAGGTAAAGCTTCACACAGCTGTTAGGTATTGATTAACTTGACTGTTTTAAGACTTGGAGGACATTAAACTGTTATTAGAATAGAAAAACCCATGACCGAAATTTAAAAGGAGAAAACCCACATTGGGGTCAAACTGCTAACAGCTTCATGCACTATGAAACATGACAAAACTCACACTTTATAACGGGCTCCTAAGCAAAGAGTCTGTTGTATTTGACAGTTGTATTATTTTATTGCGTTATATACAGTAAATCTTAAGTACCGTCGTTGTCATGACAACTGGGAAATCAATGTAGTGCACAACTTCTCTCTGACATATAGGCTAGTGCAGTAAGGACACTTAAAGCCTTGGAGGTTCTTACTGTAGACTAGCTACTGGTTGAATAAAGCTGATCTGGGAAATAAAGAACAAGAGACATAAAAATACACATAAATCTTTTAAATCACAGAACTTAAGTTAATGTTTTAGCTACTTTACTATCCTGTGAAAAAAGCAAGCTCCCTGAATACATACCTGCTGATATTGTATTATTTGACATACAGTACCTCTGTACTTTCACTTTGACTACAATTTACATGCGCGGCTTTAGCTATCGTGGAATAATGTAATACTGTATGATGAATGGGCTGCATTGTGCAACACCTTTCTAGTCCACTAGAAAGCACTTTGCTCTTCATGCTTCCTGGCTGCTTGAGACATAATATACATACTATTCAGAGTTGTATTTAAAAACCAATCGAAGCAGTTCACCTACTGATGTTTTATCATCTCGTAGGGTCTGGAAACCAACCGGTCAAAGAAAGTTTCAGTCCATCATGTTTTCAAGTCATGTCGAGGTAAATATGCTACTACAGCCTGTTCTTACAGCCATGTGCTTTAACTTAATCAAACATGTTGCATAACCAGCACACAGCAGACTGGATCATGACAAATGAGAGGGAGGTACTAACTTGAGTAGCCTATAGCGCTATTATTGTAGGTTATTATAATGTAAAAATCTAATTTACCCTCCACTATGGCTGAATTTAGACCCGCTCACAGTAGGTTGAGCCTTCCTCATGAGCTGCCAGTACTGCAATAGCTGGTGCCTTCACTTATTTATAAGGAGAAAAAAATGTGCTGTGGGAAAACTTCTGTTTTCAAATGTGACTGCATTATCCAAAGAGATGCAGAGACATGTTAAACCACAGTAACGTACTACAGTATATGGTGTAAAGAAAGCATCCATCGGCTCTTACATCTGCTGTTAAATGACATTTTTATCCAGAACCAAAATAAAACTATTGTTGAAACACACTCTATTAAAAGATTCAAGTAGCTTAATTAGATGTAGCCTAAAAAAATTATTGTTCTGTACTTAATGGAGTTGTGGCTGGAGGTTGCATAAGAGATTTGTAGCACGTGTTTCAACTGCCAGTCAAACAAATCAAAGATCGTGTACTTTCAGATTACATCCTCTTCTGTTAAAATCCAATGACTGAAACATTTTATCCTATATGTCCAAAAATCAGAGTAATGCGTGGGCTAACTTGTGTTCGTTTTGTATCCTTTTAATGTCAGTGTTTATCACAGTTCAGGGTTCAGTGTCGTGTAGTCTCAAATGTCTGCAGCGCTACAGTCTTCTGTTTTTTTCTTTATTGATGTCAAAACTACTCTGATGTACTTAAAGTGGTGTTTTTATCTGGTGTCAATGTGTCAATGAAACTCATATTGTTTAAAAGAAAAAAAATGCACCACGCCCTGGGTGCTCTTGCCTTGAGGGTTTACAGTACGTGCTAGCTGCCATGTGGGAGCCAGTAAATTACACATCTTCTCTGTCAACTTTGTCACCATTGATTTTAACTGCTCTTCAGGTGCCAATTTGTTTTTTCACTTGGAAGAAGCGCCCCTATGAACCTTTCTGTTGTACTGATACTGTCCTCTAGTGGTGAATGTGAGGATCTGCTGTGTATCAGCACAGATGGACACGCACTATTCACCACAGCAGTCACAAGGCTTGACAACAGATTCTTTTATTATTGCTTTCATAATAATGCCCGTCACATTTAACAGCTGAACATTCTCAATTAAAGTTGATTTAATTTAAAAAATCATCAATCATTTCTCAGCTCCTGATCAGTCACAGCACTGTTTTAAAGTGATACAGAACATTAGGTAATTTCTAGGCACACATAAAAGGAAGTGGTTTGTCGGGTTAGTCAAGTGAGTGCACTGCACACTAAAGACATATTAAGCAGTTATAATTACCCCTACAGTACATGATGTCTTGTAAAACACGTCAAAAGACGAGGTGAAAAGTTAAAGAGTACAAGACTTGAGTGCATTCCAGCTGTTTAACTTCTAGAAAGAGGAGTGTAGATTGTCTATAACATACAGATACTTTCAAGTGCAAGACAGTCGGCATGGTAACGGAAAACTTAAGAGGGAGTTGTCCCTTTTTCTTCTTTTTTTTTTTACACTAACTGTGTAAAGTCTAAACGGGTGCATTTAGGTGCTGCTGGAAGCTCTCAGTGATGCACACCTCGAAAAAAAAAAAAAAATACAAATATTACTGGCCAAAATGTAAAACGCCATCCATCAGACTGTCCTTGTCTTCCCTGCAATAGAGACCACAGGGCTACTTTCTGTTAGTCAATCAGGAAGCAATCTGAAGCCATTTAGATTACTTCTTGGTGGACTGGAATATAAAAACAGAAACGACTGGTCCCGCTGAAACTACTAAAAGGATGGAATGCAAGTGGGACGTGAGGCTTAAAAAAAAACACAAATCATCACATTTCTGGCCTTAAAGAAAAGAAGTAGCACGGAAGTATACTACATGACAGGAAGGATCTTTGCTGAGGTGCATAAAATAGTTAAAAATAGGCTAAAGACAAGTATATAAAAAGTATTAAAAAATGTCAAAGCATGTGTCCTGCACTTCTTTCAGAAACGTCCTTCAAAAACTACTTCATTCAGCGGCACAGATCTTAATCTCATAGCATTTAACACATTCAGAGGGTAAATGGCTCCTTTCTTTCTCAAACATTCATCTTAAAGCTCACTTCTAAGGCGTCATTACTGTAGCCCACTTCGACACGCTTGACTCCTGTATTACTCCTCTGGGTCAAAGGCACTGGGCTCCTGGCCCTCTGGGGGCCTCCTCTGCGGATTGTATTGCTGAGCCAGAGGAAACCCCCTGAGCTTCTCCTGCAGACTTCCTACAGCCAGCCTCATCTGGTCCTCAGCCCCCTGCAGTGATTTCAGCTCCATGGTGTAGAAGATGTACAGCAGAGAGGTGGTCAGCAGGATGGCAAAGCACAGTGCAGCCAGCAGGTAAAAGGAGGTGCGTGGGAAAGGTTGTTCTGCTCCCAGAGCCAGCCAGGGAACAGCAGCGATGGCCAGCTCAAGAATCAGCAGAGCAAAACCCATCACTCCGGTGCGTGCTGCTGTGTAGCGCATCCCCTCAGCGCAGTGCAAACCAACCTTGACTTCTGTACGCGCCTCTGTCACGATATCCACCAACTCAGCCACCTTCTCTGAAGGCACAAATCGGAGACGGTGTCAGGATTCTCAAAGCAGTGCTGTGCATCTGTTCCACAGCCAAACTGTGATTGGATTAACTTCACAAAATTACACTTAATATTCTCTGTGAGCCCTGTTAATTTAACTCATCAACCAGCATGCAATTACAGGAAGTGGTTTGAAATTGATGTGGACAAAAAGCAGGACTAGCCAAAAGAAAACAGCAGTGCTCACATTACAGCAGCTCATTCACAGAGCTTATATAACTTATTGCTCTTCTGATGACTCAAGCACTTTTGAAAGCAGTCACAGTCATTTCCCAAATAAGGTTATTGATAATGCATCTCCTTCTTTTAGCTTATTAAAAAACATTTGCAAAGCTACACTTACCACAACTGAGCTTTTATTAATTTGGTTTGAAAGATCCAATTGATATATTGATACTATACAGATCCGATTAAAGTTGTAGGAAGACCTCCTTATTGCAAAACAGGGAATCACTGACAGCACAAACAGTGGTAAAAACTTTCTTCAGGAATGATCAGAGACAGTATAAAACAAGGATGTAGACTCAGTGACATCACTTTGCTGTTTGTAAAGAAGCGTCAGTCAGCCTCCAGGAAATCAGCTACAACAATTCCACCTGTCAGTGAACTCTTAGCTTTCATAGTATCAAAACAAATGACAACTTTCCCTGTGAAATTTGACCAATGAAGAAATTATCTTCAATTAATTTTGACCCAGGCTGTAAACTTGTTTATCTCTTCTGTTTTTGGAGCCAGCCTCAAGTGGACACTTGAGTTACTGCAGTTTTTGCACTTCCCCATTGGCTTCATTTTTCATCACCAGAGGTTGCCACTTGGAACTTATTCCCATTCTAATTAGGCTCCTGGCATCGCAATGCTCTGTGCTAAAGGCTAACAACAGCATGCTAACATGCTGAAAATGTGTATGTTAACACCCTGATGTTAAGCTGATTTTAATAAGAA